TCCACATGGGCACGCTCAGCAGCTAAGAGCCCCTGTTGCTTTTTGCAGAGGATCTAGGTTCTATTCCTAGCACCCACGTGTCAACTCAATAACCATCCATAATCCAGTGTCAGAGGATCTGACGTTCTCTTATGACCTCTGTGAGCACCAGGTACATATGTGGTATACAGACATTACATATAGGCAAATCACACACATAAAATAAAAATAATTAAATCTAAAATAAAAAAAAAAAAAGAGAAAGACCTGGCTACTTGTGTGCTGCGGGGACACCCTGAAGCTTGCTATTGAAGGAGGACTGCCTTGGCATCATCTTCTCCCTCTGTGTCCTGGATGATGCTTCCAGTCAAGCAGTGTGTGCTTTTGTCCATCACTAACGAACCATTCTTGGCTCCAGTCTGCAGTGCCCTTTGTGCTTTCACTAGCAACTCTCCTCTTCCCTGGTCCTCCTCAAATGGTGGTCAGGTGGAGTTCTTCCTGAGAGGAAACACCATGAGTTGTACCACGGCCTGACAGTCACAGATGGCTCGACAGACAGAGCCCTGGTGCCTGTCGGCCTGAAAGGAGGGCTCCCCGGGACAGAGGCTGGGTCTTTAGAGGAAGGAAAAGGCAACTTGAGCCTTTTTAAGAAACTGTCTTCTTTTGTCCCACTTTCCCGCTTGGGTGGCGGTTCTGGAGATGTGTGCTGCCAACTGCAAATGTACTTCACACTCTTCCAAGTTTGGATACAAACACTTGATCGGATATGTGTTTTGCAAATATTTTTGTTTTACAATTCTGGCTTATTTTTTAATGTATTTTTACACAAGGTTTTTTGTTTTGTTTTAAGATTTATTTATTGTGTATACAATGTTCTGCCTGCATGTGTGCCAGCACACCAGAAGAAGCCACCAGATGTCATTCTAGATGGTTGTGAGCCACCATGTGGTTGCTGGGAATTGAACTCAGGACCTCTGGAAGAGCAGCCAGAGCTCTTAACCTCTGAGCCACCTCTCCAGCCCCAACACAAGGTTTTTAGTGTACATGGTGGTCAGAGGACTAGCTGCAGGAGTCATTTGAACAGGGGTAATGAGAGCACAGATCCGTGCTCTGTACCTGGTTCAGGAGAAAACACTCAGCCTTTGACCTTTTGCATGGGGTTAGCTGTTTTGTGGTTGTTTTGTAACCTAATCTGCATCGTCCTCTCTCCTTGTCCACAGTGTCACACACTTGCAATTGTAACACTGAAGAGCCAGAGGCAGGAGGATTGAGAATCCAAGGCCAGTCTGGGCTGCATAGCAGTTGGAGGCCAGCTACATAGTGAGACCCTGTCTACATAGTCTGAAAACATGGCAAATTTCACTTTAAATTTAAAAGTGATTAAAAAAATTAGGCTTCCATTCCCAGGTTAAAGCTCACTTCGCTGTAATAATGAATTATTGTTTAATGTTTGCTGGGCTGAATTCACTGATTTTTGCAGCGCCATGCACAGTGCATTAGGTTAGTGTTGTCCCGAGGCACTCAATGAATTGGAGTCATTTGAAAGCAGGTATGTCCACCGCAAGCCTTTGGGCCACTTGTAGCCTGGGTTACTAAAATATGATTGTGAGTGTGTGTAGGTGTATATGTGTGCATGTGTGAGTGTGAATGAGTGTGTGTATGGGTGAGTGTGTGTGCATAAGCATGTCTGTCTGTATGTGTATAAGTGTGTGTTTTGTAACGTGATTTGGTTCTGAGTGTGAACTTACTTGGTAGATAATAGCATCACGTCTCAGTGTCAAATGGTTGCATGAGCCTGAGAGATAGCGTTGCAGTGAGGAAAGGCTTGTCATGGCTCCAGTGTGCCAGGCTTCTGGGAACTAGCTGTGCCTGCTTCAGGAGTGGCTACAGTTACCCTCAGTGCCAGCAGGGTTTTCTGGAGGCTGGGCGAAGGTGGCCTTCAGGGAGGGGGAGCTGCACAAAGGGAGAGAAGGAGAATAGCCCTGGGAGTGTCTGTCCTGGAAAAGAACATTTGGCTCTGCTTCCTGTTTGTTGGTCTTTTTCTTGAGTTCATACATGTAGTGTATGACACCAGGTGTGTGAGGTGTCCATGTTGTTTGAATGTGAAGGGTCCCTGTAACTGGCTCATGTATGTGAATACGTGGTGCCCTTTGGGAAGGTTCTGGAAACTTTAGGAGGTGGAGCCTTGCTAGTAGAAGACTGTCACTAGGTCAGTGGAGACAGGCTTTGCAGTTTTAATGACCCATCCCAGCTCCCTGCTTCCTGTCAGCAGAGACAGTATGAGCAGTTGCCTCATTCTCCTACTGCCATGCCTTCCCCATCATGGTGCCTGTGTCCCTAACTGTGAGCCAGAATGAACATAGAAGGAATGTCTTGTGTCTGTATGGAAATATCACCTATCAATACAAAGCTAATGGCCTATAGCTGAGGCAGGGAATAGGAGGTAGGACATCCAGGCGACAGAAAGGATTCTGGGATAGGGCCGGGCACAGGAGCTTTTCCAGGCAGGATGTGAGGAGGACATGTACAAGGTACCTGAGTATAGATAACCAGCCACATGGCAAAATGTAGATTAGTAAAATGGGTTATTTTAAGTTATGGGCTAGTCAGAAAAACCAAGCTATAGGGCTGAGGTATTTGTAAGGTATATTTTGAGTCTCATGAGTTGTTATTCTGGAAGCTTGGGGCCAGGAGGAAAAAAATGCCCACAACAATAACTGTTCCTCCCTCAAGTTGCTTCCTGTCATGTATTAGGTCATAGCCTCAGTGAGTGAGGGCACTTGCCAAGCTTGATGATCTGAGTTCAATCCCTAGGACCCACAAGGTTAAAGGGAAAACTAACCCCTCAAGTTGTCTGTAGAGGGTAGAGGTCCTTGCACTCAGAGATGAACACTAAGGAAACCAGGAAAGTTAAACACGAAGGCTTGTTTCTTCAAAGGAAGGAGATGTTTACCTCTGTTCCATCTGGAATGCTGTATGGAATGGATGTATTTTACCATCTGGTGATAATTTGCTATCTGAAGAGCCATATTTCACCCAAATCCCCCAGACGATTACATTTGTTTATCCCAGACTTTCCCCCACTGAATCTTGAGCTCTAGTATTTTCTGTCTGGGCTATCTCCCATCCATAATCCCACAGTGCTTGCTAATGTTCTTCATTTGGGCTGCTTTCCCCATCCACGCTGATCTAGCCATGTGCCTCTCTCCACACCAGTCCATCCTTCCTCTCCTTCCTTCCTCTCCCAGAACCTGTCTCCTTCCCAAGGTCCTTCTTTCCTGAAAGCCATTGAACCTTTGCCTCACCTACCTCTACCTGCCCTGCTCAGGTGTAGGCCTTTTAACCAGCCAATCAGGGATAATTGGGGAACATTTCCTCTCATCATATGGGTACAGGAGATAGTTCAACATTAGTAACAGTGTCCATGCAGGGTGGTAACCATATCTCAAGGCACTGAAGTCAGCATCTGAAAACACAGTTGGACTTTCCTCCAATAGAATTGAGTTTCATTTTTGACTCTTCTTCACTGAAGCTTTCAAGGACCCCCATGGCTGTTCTCTGACCTCTAAATGCACATTGTGGCACATATCCCTCATTATCTCCCCCAAAATGAATAAATAAAAGGTTTTTTAAAAAAGATTTATTTATTATTTATACAACATTCTGCCTGCACACCAAATCTTACTATAGATGGTTATGAGCCACCATGTGGTTGCTGGGAATTGAACTCAGGACCTTTGGAAGAACCTCTGAGCCATTTCTCCAACCCCAATAAAAGTTTTTAAAATTTAAAAAAGGTGGAGCGTGGGGCACATGCCTGTAATCTCAGCACTCTGACAGGCAGAAGCAGGCCGATCTCTGTGAGTTCAAGACTCTACAAAGTGAGTCCAGGACAGCCAAGGCTATACCGAAAAACCTTGCCTGGAAAAACAAACAAACAAAAAAAATTTTTTTTTTTTTTAAATAACTTTGGGTAAGTATTAGAAGGAAACCCAGAGAAAGCCAGCCTGAGTGGAAGAAATTTATGCATTTGTGTCAAACACTGAAGCATCTGCCCCTAGCAATGCTTGGCCCTGGTGTCTCTGGCCACCTCCCTGATGGCTCTGGGAGTGGGGGTATGGGGGTCCTCTTGGTAAGCCCGGGCTTCCATTTCTCCCATTGTATAGTCAAAGATGAAGTTCCTGCAGCAAGCGCTGGAGCTACTTGCACCTACCTGGCTCAGCTTGGCTCTGAAGCCTGCAGCAGCCCTTGCAGCCAGGGGGAGCCTGAGCTCAGCCTAGCCTCCTCACAGCTTCGGTCATAGCCAAGCCACAGACACCAGAGAGCCAGAGGGAGAAAGCATCTCTCAGCCAAGAGGAACAGAACAAGGACAGACCAGGCAGGGTCTGAACAGCCACACTTGGCTGCCTCGGGGAGCTGGGGCAGACCTTCCCTGAAACACACGCATGCACACATGTGGGAAACAACGCCAACCCTGGTCCTCGGGTGACAGAAGTCTGGCCTGGGGTTCCCTATGGTGACCATGGCGACTGTCCTAATCTTGACTATAACGAGATTCAGCTTGGGGAGGTAAATGAGTGATAAAAGAGAGGCCAGTGCCCCACAGGGCCACAGAGTGGAGACACCAAGGGAAAGAGGCAACAGAGGGAAGGGGACAGGGTGGCCTGGGAACCTGATTGTGGTTTCCGTGGGGAGGAATGTGCAAGGCAGGGCAGGCCCCAGAGTGGTCAGTGGATGATTCAGAAGGCTCAGGGCTACAAGTCCGTTTTTAGTCACCCTAGTATCTGGCATTAGGGTGTTATTGGCTGGAAAGCGAGTTTGATAGAGAAGGTGGGTGGGTCTCTGGGCTGTAGGTGGGTTTGCTGTGTCCTAAAAGTCATGTTGACAGGTTAGCACTTGATCTTTCCAATGTCAGCCTGGGAAGAGGGGGGAGTAGTCTCCCAAGGATTAGCAGGCCCAGGCTGTCAAAGCTTTGCCAGGTCCAGATAGTAACAACCATGGCTACTGTGGTCTCTCTACAGAGTGTTCTTCCTCAACGTGCCGTTGGACTCCATCCTGGAGCGGCTGACACTGAGAAGGACTGACCCTGTCACAGGAGAAAGGTTGGTTAGGGCCTACTGGTGGTTGCTCATGGAGGGATGCTGATGGCCAGGCCCCCTGCAGAGCCAAATCTTCATCCAGGTGCTCAGTGCTTCAAGGTAGAGCTGGCTGCTACAGGGCTAGAAACAGGCCTGTTCAGTGAGCTCTTCTGGGTATGTCTGTTGGCCTCCTCGGTCTGCAAGAGTGATGAGGGAAGGAATGTACCAGGCCCTGCAGCAACATACTGGTGAAATATTGAAGTATCTGGTCACTCTATTCCTGTCTCCCCGTTGCTTCAGAAATGGCTGCACCAGATGGGCAGGCTACTGGTTTTTGACAAATAGTGTTTGGAAGGATGAAGAAAGAACAGATGAAGCTGGGGAGATGCTCAGATGGCAAAGCACTTGCCTTGCAAGCAAGAGGACCTGAGTTCAATCACTAGAATACACACACTCACACATACACACACCCTTTGTGGTAGTATATGCCTTTAATCTCAGCATTTGGGAGGCAGAGGCAGGTGGATCTCTTTTGAAGCTAGCTTGGTTGACATATGGAGTTCCAGGACAGCCAGGGCTACATAAAGGAAATCCTGTGTGATGGCTATTCTTGGTTGTCAACTCAACTACATCTGGAATTAACTAAAACCTAAGCGGCTGTGTACACGTATGATGAACTTCTTCCTTCCTTCCTTCCTTCCTTCCTTTCTTTTCCAAGACAGGGTTTCTGTGTGTAATACCCCTGGCTGTCCTGGAGCTCACTTTGTAGATCAGGCTGGCCTTGAACTTACAGAGATCTGCTTGTTGGTCTCTGCTGCTGGCAGATCTGGTGCTCAGCAGCAGCTGTGGCCAGGTCAGCCTCCCTGAGTGGAAGTGCATGCTGTTGAGCCTCTGCAGAACCCATCTCTGTCACCATGGCCACTGTTCATGGGCCCAGTGCACAATGACAGGGATGGCTGGGGAAAGAGGCTGACTTTGTCCACAGAATGGGTCATCTAATCTACATAACTACTGAACTCCTCCTCAGCTGAAGTCACCTTTTGATGGGCATTTACATGGGACACAAGCATCTCTACATCTTTCTCCCATTTGGAGAGATGTGTCCACATACTTCTTCCCCAGATGTCTTTCTCAAAAATTCCCAATCATGTTCTTTCCAGGTCCTTGACCATGCAGCCAGTCCATTGGCTACAGCTCATGAATCAGCGAATAACTGCACATCTGGCCATTTCTCCTTCCAAACAAATTTATGACCATGTATACTGCTCGAAGTTCTGCCCACTGTGAATATTTCGCTTCACTGGTGTCTTTTAGCGTTGTCCCAGAAAGGGGTTGTAATGCTGCAGCTGCCTGCACAGCCCACAGAACCATCAGTAAACCAGGCCCCAGTCTCCTCTTCCTCCACCATGAGGCTGTGGTGCATGCTTGGCAGCAGACGGCAATGTAATGGGAGTAGAGACCATGGGCATTTGGGCGATTTCTTCATGTAACCTGCTTGTTCCTTCAGGGCCTGCATGGGCCCAATAGTGTATATCTTCCAATAGTGTATATCTTCCAATAGTGTATATCTTCCAATAGTGTATTTCTTCCATTTGGTAATGGATTGCTGCTGTGCATATCCTACTTTCTGACTTGGTGGGTTAGATAACACCCAGCTCATGATGGGCAGCTCACATTGCATGCTAACTTGGTAAGTGCATTGTCAAATATTCAGTTTTCACTAAGGCCCAATAGCAGACCAAGAGCTGTCTCTTAAAGGGAATAGTTGTTTGTAGACAATGGTGGAGACTTGGACCCAAACCGAAAAGAGCTCTTCTCTGATTCACCTCCAAACAGCATCCCTACCATTGGGTCATCTGAACCGTAGGTCCAAATGATAGAGAGGCCTGCACAGCATCCTGGACCTGTTGAGGAGCCTTCTGTTCTAGACCCCAGTCCTGGTGCCAAAACCTGTATTTGCCAGAGTTCTCTAGGGGAACAGAACTGATAGAATGAATGAATGTGGGATTTAGTAAAGTGGCTTACAGGCTGTGGGCATCTAGTTCAGCACTTCTCAACCTGTGGGTCTCAACCCCTTTGAGGGGTGTATGTCAGATCTCCTGCATATCAGATATTTACATTACAGTTCAGAACAGCAGCAAAATCACCGTGATGAAGTAGCAGTAAAACAAACGGTTTTATGGTTGGGGGCCAACACAACACCAAAACTGTTGTAAAGGGTCACCAGAGTAGGAAGATTGAGAGCCACTGCCCTAACAGTGCCTTTGGAAGATCCAAGAATTGAGCAGCTTTTCAGTCCACGAGGCTGGCTGTCTCAGTGGGCCTTCAGTATATGTTGGAATCCCAAAGAAATAGGTTCCAATGCCAGTGTAGGAACGGGACTTGCCAGTGAGAGCAAGACCAAGCAGACAAAGTGGTCCATATCCTTCACATGGGCTGCCTGCAGAAGGTGTGGGATTTTAGTTGCAGGGGATCCAGCTCCCTCTTCTGACCTTCAGCACCTGTTCACATGTGACAGGGGTGGGGGTGGGGACATTGCAAAAGTACGGAAGGAATGAACACACACACACATACACACCCTTGTGGTAGTATATGCCTCTTGGGAGGCAGAGGCAGGTGGATCTCTTTTGAGGCTAGCTTGGTACACATGTGCGTTGGTGGGGGGGTTGTTTATTGTTTGTTTTGTTTTCAGGTGGGGTCTCATTACACAGCCCTGGCTAGCCTGGAATTTGCACAGCTCTGCCTGCCTGGGCCCCCTGAGTTCTGAGGTCAAAGGGAATCTGGCTCTTATTGTCTTTACATTTTGCTGCCCAGCCCCCACCCTGCCCTTTCCCTGAGCTGATATCACAACTTCATGTCTCAGAAGCCTGAGGCCAGTCCAGGGTGTGTCCCCAGCTGGCATTTGTGCCGGTGGTAATGGTGACAGGGCAAGGGCACTCTAGCATGGTCAACATGAGGACTGAGGGCACCCTTGTCATCTGCTTTCTTCGTAGGTTTCATCTCATGTACAAGCCTCCTCCCACTGTAGAGGTCCAGGTCCGTCTCCTGCAGAACCCCAAGGACTCGGAGGATCACATCAGGCTCCAAACGGAGCTGTTCTACAGGAACTGTGGGGACCTGGAGGATTACTACAGTCGGGCCATCACCATCAATGGGGACCAGGACCCGTACACTGTCTTTGAGTACATAGAGAGCGGGATCATTAATCCCCTGCCCAGGAAAGTGAGCTGAGGTGTGCAAAGCCTGGAGCCCCGGTGACACTCGAATCCCTGACCCCACACAACCTTCAGCAGACCCCACCCAGCCAATAAAGACGCTACTCACAACCTCAAAGTAGCCTTCTCATGGGGTCTGAGAGGAGGCCCCTGGAGGGGGACAGCGGAATGTCAGAGGCCAGGCCTCCCTCTAGAGTCAGAGCAGATGCTACCCACCTCAAGCAGGCAGTCAAAGTGGGCCTGGTTCTCTTCCACACACGGCAAGCACATCCCATTGTGGGTAACTGGGTGGGTGCTGTCTTAGCGAGGGTTTCCATTGCTGTGAAGAGGCCCCATGGCCGAGGCAGCTCTTATAAAGGAAAACATTTAATTGGGGCTGGCTTACAGTTCAGAGGTTTAGTCCATTAGTATCACGGTAAGCATGGCAGTGTGCAGGCAGACATGGTGCTGGAGAAGGAGCTGAGAGCTCTATATCTTGATCCTCAGGCAGCAGAAGGGGACAGTGTGTGTCACTCTGGACGTAGCTTGGGCATATGTAACCTCAAAGCCTGCCTTCAAAGGACACACTCCCTCCAGCAAGGCCACACCTCCTATAGTGCCACTCCCTTATGGGCCAAGCATCCAAACACATGAGTCTGTCGGTGCCATTCCCGTTCAAACCACCACAGGTTCGCTGGTCATGGCCTGTAGAGGAATGGAACAGTAGCATGGATATATATTATAGAGGACTTAGTGATTGGCTCACATGATGCCAGCTAGGCTAACGGTGGCTGGCTGCATGCTGGAGAGTGTGAGAATCTCACAGCTGCTTAGTCCACAGGACCACATACTCTAGATGCCTCAGTCTGGCGCTGGAGGCACAGAGGATTCCTGGAGAGCCACTGGTCGTCAGTCCACAAGGGAAGGTTGGAAAAAAACCAGGTTCTGATGTCAGTAGAGGATGGTGGGAGTGGCAGCAACAGAGCAGATGCCCCCAAAAGCAAGAGGAGAAGGCAGACAGGCAAAGTGGGCCTGGCTCTCACCCACACAGAAGGTGCTTCCCACTGGGGCAGGGCCTTCCCTCAGCTAATCCTTCTGGGAATTATCCTTTCAGAGAGACATGACTCTTAGTTGTTCCCAGGTCCAGTCAAGTTGACAACCAAGTTTAACCACCACAGAGTTAAACTCACCCCTCATAGCCTGTCTGTCCTTCACTATCAGAGGTGGGGTGATAACTGCAGCTACCTCACAGTAACTCACAGGACCCAGCGGGTGACAGGCAGAGCCCTTGGCCCAGGGTGGACAGAGACTACAGCACCGAGACAAGTATGGTGGCACCTACCTGTAATCCCAGCACTTGGGAGATGGAGTGAGGAGACAAGGCCAGGAGTTCAAGGCCAGTCTCTAGTTATATAGGGGGTTCAAGGGCATTTGGTAGCACAGAAGACCCTGTCTTAAAAAGAAAAAGAGAAACATGGCTCCTAGGAGAACTCTAGGGACATTGCTTCTATCTGCACTGTCCATGTCGGCAGCCTCTGGCCACAGGAGGCTCCCGAGGCACCTGCAGTATGGTTGTGCCACTGAAGAGGTGTGTTTTAGGTTTTATTTAATGTTCATGCATTTGAATTTAAGCAGCCTTTCAGAGCTGGCAGCCCTCCTGTGAAGTGTGTGCCTGTGCGTCTCTGTGCATGCATGTGTGTGTGTCTCTGTGTATGTGTCTATGTATGTATATGTGTGTCTCTGTGTCTCTTTGTGTCTGTGTGTGTCTCTGTGTTTGTGGTGTCTCTAGGTGTCTCTGTGTGTGTGTCTATGTCTGTCTGTATGTCTGTGTGTGTGTTTCTGTGTGTCTCTGTGTGTCTGTTGTGTGTCTGTGTGTGTGTCTGTATATCTCTGTGTATGTGTGTCTGTCTGTGTCTGTCTGT